CACGAGAGCAGCAGAAACCAAGGGCGGCTGAGCCAAGGGGATGTTCCTGGAAGTGGTTTGTAGGACAAAAGTTCTGGAAAGTGTCACTGTGGGTGGTGGAACATGAATGACCCGTGCCAGCCCAACCCAACATGAATGATCCAAAGGAACCCAACCAAAATGATCCAGTGGAACCCAACACAAATGACCACACACAACGTGACCCAACACAACATGACCCAACACAACATGACCCAACCCACCTCAGTATAACCTGACATGAACGACCCAACCCAGCTGACCCAACACAACCCAACCTGACACAAAAGACCCAGCAGGAATGACCCAACCCAACCCAACAAGAATGACCCAACGTAACCCAACTCAACATAAATGACCCAACCCAGTGAGAGTGGCACAACACAACCCAACATGAATGATGTAACCCAACAAAACCCATTGTGGATGACACAGCACAGCAAGATCCAAGGAAAATCAAAAAGATCTTCTAGAAAGCTCCAGGAGAGGAGGGTCCATGGGCCAGAGCTCCAGCTGTCTGGTCCTCACCTACCCCTGCTGCAAGGCTGTTGGAATGAAACAGAAAGAGGGAAACAACCTCTCTGACCAGGCCTTTCCCTCCAAACAGGCTGGGAGGTCCTGGTGACTGTGTGTTGGGGACCTGGGAGTCCAGGGAGATTTTCTAGTGATCCAAGGGCTATCAGAGCCAAGGGACATGTGCTGCTCCCTCGGGCACAGCCGTGGGCTGCTCATGGGGCCACTTGTGGCATCATTTGCTGCTCCGGTGTTTCTTGTCCCTGAGGCCAGGCTCCCACTCCCAGGAATGCATCACGTCCCCATGGAAACACAAATGCTTACTTATCTGACTTGTTTCAGTCATTTTTAATTTAATTTAATTCCCCATTTCTCTCTCTCTTTTTTTTTTTTTTTTTTTTTTGGTTATTTGAAGGAAGGAAGGAAGCCCAAACTCGGATGTTTGTTTGTTCTGTCCTGGCCGATGTTCCCTTGGTCGCGTTCCAGGGGCTGATAAACTGGCAGGGAAGCGGAGAGTGGAGCACGGCGGAGCCTGGGAAAGGCTGTGACCCTGCTTCCCCCCTGGCCTTACGTCACGGTTTCTCTCCGATTAGCCTGGCCTGGGGGCCGCCTCTTCCAGCTGCCTCGGCCCCCTCTGCTCCCTTTGTCCCCAGCTCTTGGTGGGACATCCACCAGGAAAGCATCTCCTTGCACCCAGGTTCCTCCCTCCCTGCCCTGGTGTCACCTCCAAACCCCACGGTGTGGTTGGGACCTGTGGGTCACCCCTTGCCAGTGGGACCATGGAGAGGGAGAACCCATATATATGGATCTGGGCTCAGGTGTGAGTTGTGCTCTTCTCACAGACCTTCACCCTCTTCATCCAGGCAGGTCCCACCTGGGGTGGTCCCATCCAGTGGTGTCTGAGGCTGTCACAGACCCCAGCAGGGCAGAGATGTGTGCTCGCTGGTCTGAGCAATGCCAGGAGCTCCTCCCATGGCTCCTGACAAGAACCATCAGCTTGGAAAGTCTCTCCTTCCTCCACGTGGGAACATGTCCCTGAAGAGGGAAATACATGTGGGGCGTGGAATATGTGCCATAGATGGGGGAGCTGGGGGCTTTGTGGTTCCCTTGCTCCCTGTCTGGAGTCAGGGATGTGGTTCAAGGAAAGG